GCTGTAAATGCGGAGCCCCAACCCCCATGGCCGCTCCCCCACCCTCCTTCTCCGACATCTCCCCTCCCCCAAACTACCGCCCAATCCGAGCTCCCGCCATCAACCTCCCTCCAAACTCCAACTCCCAACAGGCCATCATCCTCACCCCTGTACCCCAACCCCTCTCTGTCCCCCAAATCTCCTCTCCCTTCCACTTCCAATCCCCCTCCAAAGTCATCCAGTCCCCCGACGACCTCCGCCGCTTCCACGACTCCTTCTCCGGCAAACACTTCGTCGGATTCGTCGCCGCCCTCTCTGAGTCCATCCGCGCCAAGAAAATCTCCGACTCCTGTCACCAATCCGACACCGTCAACACCATCGTCTCCATTCTAGAAACCCTAATTCAATGGGTCGACGAAATCCCACCCACCCAGCAAGCCGGCCGATACGGCAACGTTTCATTCCGCTCCTGGCACGAACGATTGTCCGAAACCAGCCACTCCCTCATGCTGCAGTTCCTCCCCGAGCATCTCCACCCTTCTACCATCGAGATGGTTCCGTATTTCACTGATAGCTTCGGGAACCCGAGCCGAATTGATTACGGTACAGGGCACGAGACCAACTTCGCTGCTTGGCTCTACTGCCTGGCGAGAATGGGGGTGATTAATGAAGAAGATTATCCGGCCGTCGTGGCTCGAGTCTTCGTCAAGTACTTGGACTTGATGAGGAAGCTGCAGTTGGTGTATTGCTTGGAGCCGGCGGGGTCTCACGGCGTTTGGGGCCTCGATGACTACCATTTCCTGCCTTTTATTTTCGGGGCGTCGCAGTTGATTGAGCATAAATATATGAAGCCTAAGTCAATTCACAATGATGATATCGTGGAGAATTTTTCGAAAGAATATTTGTATCTCTCGTGCATTCAGTTTGTGAAGAAGGTGAAGAAGGGTCCATTTTCGGAGCACTCGCCATTGTTGGATGATATCAGTGGAGTACCTAATTGGAACAAAGTGAATAGTGGGTTGCTTAAGATGTATAAGGCTGAGGTGTTGGGGAAGGTTCCGATTATGCAGCATTTTCTGTTTGGCTGGCTCATCAAGTGGTATGATCCTTGCCCATTTCCCTCTCTGTAAATGGTTTGAATATGATTGCTAGTTTCTGCAAATGTGGAAAGATATTTAGTAAATTTTTCATTTTACTGTGTAATCTAGTGATTGTTGATAGTTTAGCAAACTTAGGTTCGTAGGAACCACGCTTACGCTTGGCAGAATGTTGAAGCTAGTTTTCCTTACTTGGATGAACCACACTTAAACTACTAGGTCAGGTACTCGGTGTTGTGCAGCGTGCTTGGTTAAGCTTAGTAACTTGTTTTGGTTTGATTAAAAAATTTGTATGGAGGATGCTTCGAATTGGTCTATTTATTTCTACAACATTAGGCGAATGTCTAGCAGTTGTGGTAGTCCTTTATTTAATGTTATTGAATTACCTCCAATGGCTCATTTTTCACATTAGGTTGCATCCAAATTGTGCCTCTTTATGTTATTAACCTTCTTGTGTCAAATCAACGAGATTCCTGCTAGAGCAATTTTGGAGCAGGTTTAGCTGATCACATCAACTATTTCATCATTGTTAGCGGGGTGTTATTTTGGTTATCATATTCTAGTTATGATTTTCAAGTTACCTTTATGCTATTGATTGCACAACCCTTAAGAATGGTGACATTCTGTTTACCTTAAGTTTCAGAAATGGGAAATTCCAGTGTTGTTGTTTTTATTTTTTATTTTTTATTTTTTTTTATGTACTGTTAAGACAAAAAATGCAATTTATTAGGTGTTTCAGAGTTTCCTTTTTGAATACAAACATACTGGAATCCTGTTTTGATCACAGTCACGACAGGTTTTATGTGAATAAGATCTCTATTGCCATGAGAGAGACATCATTTACTAGGTCTTAAGTCTTAACTTGAGTTGGTTTCTCTCGTACCTTTTGATAGAACTGGGACATGCTAAACTGAGATTGATTGCCTAGTTGTGAGTGTATTGGGGATCATGGTACCCGCCAACAACCAGTCATTATTTGATGATTAAATAAAATATGGACTACATATCCCTCGAGGGTGCTTTCTGGGCTATATGCAGGCAGGAAAAAAAAGATTTTGAAGGTGAATTTGTTAGCAATGTGAAGTTGAGACTTGGTGGAATGGTATGGCTTGCACCAATGACCTGATTCGCTAAACAATCTAAGTTCCACTGCACTACTCTGTCCTACGTCACAACCTCTTGGGAAATAGGAGTGTCTGTGTCCATCTTGCTTCCCCAATACTGTGTGTTGGCAGGAGCCTTCACTTAGTTGTGATTATGAGCAATCTCATGTTGCAGTTAAATAGATTTATTTTCATAAGCCAGTAATGCTTAAAGGTGGCTTAAAGCTATACCAGGGAACATGATATGATCATTTCACTTTTCGTTAAACATAGGATAACCATCTGAAGTTCCTATGAAAAGGGGATAACTGCCAAAACAATATAATACCGTTCACCTTGGTTGACCTAAAGATGTTTTGTATCAGTAGTATTCATAATTTGTTTGCGTTTCCTGTTATCTTAGACTTTTCATTGGTTGATCTAAACGGAGATGTTAATTTCTGATACTGAATGTATCAATCGTGATTCGACAGTTAACTATCTAGACGGTCTTTTTAATTCAGCATTGTACATTTCAACTGTTGGAAGGCATATTTTCTTTGATAGCGTGACGATCAAATTGCAATTATATCCCTCCATCCCGCCCTGCGCGGATGGGTATTTGCAGCTTATTCTGTTTGTTAAGTGATTCATTTCCCAAATATTTTCTTCACAGGGAGTAGAAACATCGTGTCAGGTCTACCGGAGGCATCTGTTGTAGAAGAAAGAAGTCAAATTTCTAACAGGTTATAACCCATTATAAGAGCAGAATGTTACTAGATTGGAAGCGAATACTCGTCGTTTCTTATTTGTCTACTTGTTTTTGTTCTTTCAATGGTTACTGAGTATGCAGTCTTGGTGTCATGTTACTGCACTTTTCTTCTTTTGATGTTAGCATCTCGCTTTGACTGAAAATTGATTCCAAAAGAAGAAAAAGGCCCATAAAAAAAAGTGTAAATTAAATTTTGCCCCTCGGATTTTGTGGTCGGTTGAAATGAATAATAAATAAATGTATGCGGTTAAAATGTTTTAAAGATCTTGTATAAAATTGCAATTAACTCTAAACCTCAGAATGTGGGCTATTTGAATGTGGTCAGAGTGGGCTGAAATGTCTTCCCATTGAGAATTGGTCTTACCCTTCGAGATGTGGGAATACTTCACGCTTACTTCTTTTTTTTTAGCTAAGGCGAGCATGATGCTTATACAACAAATGATAAGAGAAAAAGAAGGTTACGTGTCATTGAAACAAGAATGAAAAAAGGGATGTGCTATCTACACATCTCATTTTACTTCTCACACACTCTGATAATTTCTGTCTGTTAATCTTCTTCAATTCATCCGATCCGACGGTCGAAAATTAAAAGGGTGTGTGAGAAGTAAAATAGGGTATGTGGATATCACATCCCTAAAAAAAGCCAACAGGATCCTATCTGTATCATTGTGAGGATCATGGAAATTCGTAAATCGTGTCCGTTCATCTTGCATTGTACGGTTAATTTTTGTTAGGTATTGTTTGTATTTAATTTTAAATAAAAAAATATTTAAAATGATTTTTGATCGCATGATGTATGATGAACTGATATGATTTACGGATTCTCGAATCCTCACAAAGAGGATCCGGCAAAGATCCATATTCTAAAAAAAGTAGATAGATTTCATATTATTATGACAAATCCATTTCTAAGGCGAAGTTGATCTATATTATTATGATAATCTCATTGCATATGCTTAGTTCACTCTCTCATTAGCATATATACTATCATTTGTTAAAACAATAATAATAATAATAATAATAATAATAATATTGCAAAACATCTATTTTTAATGATTGTACGAAACCGGTACATTCGAGAGACAGAAGAGATGGCAGGACAGGACGGGGGAGAGAGTGAGGGGAGGGTGAAGTGGAGAAATCTAGGCAAGAGGAAGGGTTTCAATTTATTTTATTTGTATTTTATTTTAAGTAATTTGGTTAAAATAGAAGAAATTGTTATAACAGTTTATATATCTTATTTTGCACTTTAAAATTTATATATATTTCAAAAGAAAAATACATTAAAAAAATATAAAATAAAATTATTGAAATGCAGTCCCTAAATAAATGACAAAATAGGAAAAAAAAAAAATGCCAAAGTCCAAATGACAAGCAAGACTCTTAAAATCCCCTTTTGTACATTTGATGAGGGGAAAGACAAAAATAGTAAAACTTTTTGTGCAAAGTTATTTTAATGCCCACAATTTTTTATTTTTGATGTGTTAACTCACATCCCTTTTATCAGGTACAATATTAAAAATATAAAATAGTCGATTTTTAGTTTGATATTGAACTAAATGCCTGATTATATAGTCAATACTATTATATGGATAGATTAGTCTATTTGACAAAAATAGCCAATACAATTTGACGTACCAAACGAGGCCTTAAGTAATTTATCGTATACCTTACTCACAAATACACTCCATCTTAATGGATTAGCTGACAAAACTTAGCACCACAACTAGAAATGTAACTTACATAGAATGAGTTAGCCTTCTATCACAAAAAAAAAAAAAAAAAATGATGGGCAATAATGTAAATTTACAGGTCCAAATTTTACTGTGTTTTATTGAAACTTCACCTACAAGTAATGTTAAAATACCTCTAATATTTATATTAAAAAAAAGAAACTAAAAACAAAAACCTTCCACTCCGTCATGTTCTCTCGCTCTCTCTCACTCTCTCCTCATTTTCTAAAATAATATGTTCATACATAAAAATGGGTAGGCAAATGGTATTGAATAAGAATCCCACGTGACCGTGAATCCATTTCATTTAACGTCCTCCACAAGAAGGCGTCAAAGGTGCCGCCAAGTGTCAGCGTTTTAGCTCTTTCTCTCTCGCTCTCTGATTGAAATTGAAATGTACCAGAACCGCGTTAGAGCGCCACTGGACAGCAGAAGCTAGAAAACAAAGCCGACCGTGAATGGCCTCCACACTTCCAACCCTCCAAGCTTCCAACTTGATACTTTGATGCTGCATAGCATATACCATACTATACTTGACGAAGAAGAAGAAGAAGAAGAAGCAGCATCGGCAGCAAATCATGGACGCCGCCAAGCAATCCGAACGTCCGAAACCCAAACTCGAACGCCGGAACGCCAGCAAGAACATCGACTACGACGCCTCTACCTCCTCCCTTTCCTCTTATTCTCCTTTCTACTCCTCCTCGCACGGCCGTCAGTCCCCTCTCTCCGACCAAACCAGCTTCCGTGTCAGAGGCATTGACGGCGAATTCGAACTCATCTGCCGCAGCCTTGGCCTTTCCGGCCCCGAAGACTTCGCCATCCCAATCGCAGCGTGGGAGGCCCAGCGGGCCCGCATAACCCCTCGCTCTCGCCTCCGCGAGCAGAATCATCATCCTCAGTTGCGAGACAGAGCAAACGTTGACGTTTTGGAGAAGAAGTCCGAAGCTAGGGTTAGGCAGCTCGACAGTGAAATTAAGGCTTCGAGTTTGGCGGAATTTGGGGGAAATGTGAAAAATGGTAGTGCTGGTGGAGGAATTAAAGGTCCCCGCCCGCCTCCGGTTGTTTTGAAATCTTTTCCCCCCTTGGAGGACCACATTGGTGTAAATTCGCCGATTTGCGTTGGCGATATGAGGTCGGATGAAGAGGAGCTTGCAGTTAAAGTAAATGGCGAGAGGGAAGCAGTAAACGAAGCAAATGACGAGTGTTTGTCATCCAACTCATCTCCATCCAATTACAGTAATGATGATCAAAATGCAGATGCCAGTGTTGGTTTTGTTGGCATTGTAAGATTGAACCCGGAGCCAATCCATAGTATTTTTTCTCCGAATGGGAAATTCAGGCGGAGTGTTTCGTCATCGTGGCAAAAGGGTCAGCTTTTGGGAAGTGGTTCTTATGGGACTGTGTATGAAGGCTTTACTGAGTAAGTGATCATCTTCCACCTCCATTTATCCAAAATGTTTTTTAATATTTACTCTAGCTTCCAAAACTTTATCAATTTTTGTTCCTGCCTTGTTGTACTTGTTGGTGATTAGCACTATGTTTGATTTAAACCCAATCTGAACAAGATTACTTTGAATTTGAAACAAAAATGAAAAAGAAATAACTATAATTTGGTAGGAGACTGGGAATTCGTTGAAGAACTTAGCGCTAACGAATAGAAACATAGGATATCAAGACTACCACCACTTTCATAACAAGGGGGACCACCATTCATGGTTAAATGATCCTCATTTCTAATTGTATAGTTTCTTGTACTGCTATCCATTTATACACTTGCTTGTTTTTAATCTTTTGCATAATGTACCCGAAAAACCTTTGAGGTAGTCTCGAAAACCTTTATCCCTGGCATTTTCCTTTAGCATTTCCCAATTGACTTGCCATTTTATCCTACATTTATTTTTCATACAGTAAGCATTCCATTGTACTTTAGGCGTTTCCACTCAAAGTGTTTAGAATTTTCTTAGCAAGAAATTGTAAAGTTAGAAAAAGGATGGAGAAGGTGAAGTTGGGATTGCATTAAACTGGGGCTATTCTGTTCAATAAAATTAACATGTTGGTCTCATTCTCTGTTTATCTGATGCTGCAATTGTTCTTTTGCAGTGATGGATTCTTTTTTGCTGTAAAGGAGGTTTCTTTACTGGATCAGGGGAGCCAGGGGAAGCAGAGCATAATCCAACTTGAGCAGGTCGAAAGAAGCAGTCTTGTTCTGATTTGTCTTAGTTCAGCTGCAAATTACTATCTAATGGCATTATTTTGTTTTTCAAAAAAGAACATCTAATGGCATTATTAAATGATTGAAACTTCATTCAGCTGCATAACTTTTTTTTCTTACTTAGTAGATACTATTTGTTTCCTGGACCCCTTAACATTCCTCCTTCTAATACGATTGTTGTTGTACAGGAGATTCATCTTTTAAGTCAGTTTGAACATGACAACATAGTTCAATATCTGGGCACGGACAAGGTATGCTTCTTTCTTTCTTGGTTTGCATTTCTATTTGGTTCCTGCCAGTTTGTTTGGTGGGAATTACAACTTTCTACCTATTGGGGAAGATTTATCTATTCATTTTGCATGTGTTCTTGTTGTTGTAGTTAGTGCATAGGTATTTGTACTTGTATGTGTGTATCAGTGTATGTATGTACATGTATTTGTAGAACCATAAAATGATCAATCTAAGAAATGCTTCAGCAATGCAATTACTCAAGCTGCAATCATAAGATAGAGTAGCTTGCAGTATTTTAATGTTAATTTAATATATTATTGAACTCTCCTGACTTGTACACTAATTGTTCATTGTAATCTTATTACAGGACGAAACTAAGCTCTATATCTTCCTTGAGCTTGTAACAAAAGGCTCACTTGCAAATCTATATCAAAAGTATCTCTTGAGGGATTCTCAAGTCTCTGTGTTTACAAGGCAGATTTTAAGCGGGTTGGCATATCTTCATGATCGTAATGTGGTTCACAGGTAATATACTTTGGTACGGGAATTTTTGCATTGTGAACTTTCTTTCTTGTCTTTTGTGGTTACATTGGAAGGGATTAACCATTGACCTATACTAATCTTAGTAGACAAAACTGTGAACAAGCAGTAGACCAAAATATAGGGGAGGGTTTGTGAAATGGGTTTGTATCATTAGGTACCCTATGTTTGGGTGAGGGCCTTCCAAATTCCAAGGCATTTAGGCAAAATGATGAAGAAATGGAACACAAAATGTTTGGTAGGAGGAATTAGAAATACATTACAAAAGGCATGATAGAGGAACTTGCAAATGACTACTTAGAAGGAGTCATTTACAAGTCCCTATCACATACCCTTGTAATGATCATGAGGTGCATTTTCTAATTCTTCTTATCTAACTTTTTGTGATCCATGTTGTCATCGCTATTGCTAAATCCCTTGAAATTTGGAAGTTCCTCACCCAAACATACCCTACAGGATTATGCAATAAGTTGGAACTGAATTACACCCGAAGATCTTCGCCTACAAATAATTGGATCCATCTCCTAGAATATAACTGTCTTCTTTAACACAAAATTATGAGAGCAATATTAAATATATAGGTATATCCAATTTTGTATCTTGTCACTTTTGGTGAGAATGAATTAAAACCTCTCCCATCATATAATGTGAAACATTTTATTTGTATCAATGCACACGAAAGTTACAAGGAATAGAGTGACTGGGAAAACATATTTGTCTTACAACATAAAGGCCCATTTAGAGATAAGACACAAATACGTAAAAATAATGAACCGAACAATCCTCATTTAACCTGCATTTGTATAATTCCCTTGGACATATTTTTCTGCTTTCTAGACTGTGTGTTTCCTATATTGATATTGAACTTGTAGAAGTTTAAAATTTACTTCTATCATCTATATTTATAAGATTATTTTTACCAGGGATATCAAATGTGCTAATATATTGGTGGATGCAAGTGGATCTGTGAAACTTGCGGACTTTGGGTTAGCCAAGGTATAATTCCCAATACTAACCTCTCTCTCATATTCATTTCATATTCATTTCTGTTTTATTGAAAAGTAAATTCATAGAATTTCTCATGCTGAATCATTCCACATTGACCTTCTGTTTTTCTAGGCAACCAAATTTAATGACGTGAACTCTTGCAAAGGGACTGCTTATTGGATGGCCCCTGAGGTTTGCCTCCTCTCTTTACAATAAATAAGTGTTTGTAAACATCAGATTGATATTTCAACAGACGCCTTGACATGGTAAAACTAGTAATGATGTAGAGTAATTCATCTAGTTGTGATTATCCATGTAGTTAGTGTAACTTCTATTGTTGTGCTGGATATACTTTTATTTTATGACTAGGATCTCCCGAATTGAAATTAGGATTTAACTGTTATTGTCCCGTTACTCTTTGACGTACAAAACTTAATTTTCATCATTTACCTTGCAATAGAAAACTTAATGACATCTTTATATTTCGTTTTTTCTGTTCTCATCCATAGATCAATTTTCTGTTGCAATGGTATAACTGGGAATAAGTTGCTCCGAGCATGCTTATCTGTTTCATGAATTTTGAGTTAACCTGTTGACCAGTAAGCTGTAAAATTGTAGGTCGTTAATCTAAGGAATCGTGGATATGGGCTTGCAGCTGACATATGGAGCCTTGGATGCGCTGTGTTAGAGATGTTAACCCGCCGGCCTCCATACTCTCACCTGGAAGGCGTATGTTCAACATTTCTGCACATTTAATCCTAATCTCTTACCCTTTCTCTCGTATAAGAAATGCATAACAATATGCCCACATTACATTTTGACCTAGATCATTGGATGTAGGAGCCAACCTCATGCCACACATCCCCCACCATGTGATTTTACCTGGATCATCTTACCTGTACTCGGCCTTTGTGCTACTTATTAACAATATGTTATTTACTCTTCCAAATAACTCGATTAAAATCAATGACATCTTAGCTCTGAAAGCTCTTAGAAGTCCCAGTTTCCTTTGTTCCCATTCCTAAATTCCTTAATCAAGTGTTTACCCCTTATAAAACCTGAATCCAGCGATTTCTTCTTTGACATTAGTGAAGATTAGGGTAACCTTAGTATTCTTAATCAATTTGGACCGTCACTCATGCGAGAAGGCTAAGACATATGAAAGACGTGGTAGATCACTAGATTGTCCCCTGTGGAGTCATATAAGAATCTGAGAAAAATCATGGTCTTGTTTGTGTTGATTGGCAGATGCAAGCTTTATTTCAGATTGGCCAGGGTGAACCTCCTCCAGTTCCTGATACCTTATCAAGAGATGCACGGGATTTCATTCTGAAATGTTTGCAAGTTAACCCTAATAGTCGACCTACTGCGGCTCAGCTATTGAACCATCCGTTTGTGGAAAGGCCGCTCCACGCTTCCTCTGTCCCAGCTTCTCCTCATTGCAACAGTTTACGTTCGTGAATGCTTTGGTCAACCAACCTTCATTGATATCGTAAGGTAATATAGAGGAACTTGTACTGCAAGTTACCACCCTTCATATGTGCTTAGTGTTTGAATCTATATACGTCGTCAATCCATGGTAGAACATTAACTTTCACGAACGTGGTTTGGGGAAGGGGATATGCTTCCAATATTAACAAACAAAGATGTCCGATTCGCTGAAATATATGGTTACATGGAAATGGCATAAACTTTGGACATACTATAAATACGGCTCTCATCCAATACTCGTCTGGAAACACATCGCTCTAAGAAACTTAGGATACCATCTGATTAGTAGAACTAATAAAACAGTAACAAAGAATGATCAAAAGATAAATTCAGATGACAGTTAATTACCCATCAGTTGAAATCACGGTAATTTCAGCACGAGAGTATAAAACCGGTAAGCAGCAAGGCAGGGAATCAAGTATGACAGCCTATTGGAGTGCTGTTTCTGATTGCTGGTTTGCATCCGACAGAAAACCAAATTGCGATTGCAAGCAACTTTTGTGAGTGTCTGATACAGCAACAGCTGTTTCTGAGACATCTTTCTTCATTTCAAAAATCTTAGACTGCACATATTCCTTGTACTTCGAGACCGAGTCAATTACCGCCATGAGTCCATAAGCGCACATCTGAGTTTCTTCTTCAGTTTGTTTGATTGCATCCTGCAATTTCAGTTTGGAGGTCTGCAAGAACAATGAGATTCGTTATGATATCAAACTTAACGATGTTCGTATGGCATGACAATTTGATGACCATAATGTAAAAACAACAAAAACAACTTGGAAGTTAACCATTCAAGAAAGAAGTTAAAGACAAACCTTCAGAATCTCGTTTGCTTCTCTTTCCACAATATCCAAGTTACGAGTCTCCCGTTCAACATCTTCCATCAAGTTTCTAGCTTCGGCTGCACATCTGGAAGTGTATTCCTGTATCTCTTTCTTCAACAAGTTCAGTTGTGCTTCCACCTAACGGGTAAATTATACACAAGTAAAATATACAGTCAAAAACAAAATCTTTGTAAAATTGCATTTCTTTCCCAAAGTCCGAACCATATTGGAGCAATAACCAACTACAGAAACTGAGGTCATGTATCACAACAGGTCTACAGTTTCGAAGTCTGACCATTAAACACCATATGATCAATTACCTTTACAGTTGATATTTTACTTTGTAAGACATACACCAGTTATCGAGTTCATAAGGTTAAATTAATATGTCTAAGGCTTAATCTTGAACCACTTACTTCACCGATGTGAGATTGAAGCGTCGCTATAAAATTTCGTTTGCCCTCAATCTGAGCAGAAAGTTCACTTGACTGTTTCTGAAGGGAAATCAACTCTTCCAGTTTTTCCACGGAGCTTTTCTTTATGTCTTCTGAGTAGGAGTCGAGCGCAGGCTTTAAAGTTGATTTGTAGTCAATCCCCATAATCTCAGCTGGCGTCGATCCCTTAGCATTCAATAAATACTGAAATCCATTACCAAGTTTCAACCTGCTACCACCAAAGAAAGAGAGAAATTGCAATGCATACAAAGATTATTAAATTTGTCGAAACTTGTAGCACCATCAGCTGTCATAAGCCAGCAAGCAATTCAAACAAACATAAACAAGTAGGCAAACAACGTCAAACAAATCACTAGCCATGACAAAGAGTTAATTGGCTCGACGCAAAATTGGATCAACATATCATTGTCATGCACTATCGAAGCCAATGATATGCACCGCGAAACAATCACACGAAAAAAAATTACATTTCTGTATCTATGACATCAATTGGCAAGAAAAGAAGATCACATGAAAAGGAGGGCAAACCTCCTCATTGCCTGGTTGCAGTCCATGGCCACAGCCTCAAGGTCCTTAAACTTATGGCTAAGCATGGTATCAATTTCCCAAGCCTTCTCCTCCCACGCATTCCTTTCGAGCTCTGCTTCCCCAATATCCCTCTCCACAGCCTGCAACTCCCTCTTCATTCTGTCCACATCCCTCGCATTGAAGGTCTGCAACTCCACTCTCTTATTCAACTCCGCATTCTCTTGGAAAATCCTCTTATTATCCACCACTTTGGCCTCCAATTCCTTCTCTCTCCCCTCCAACACCGCTTCCAAATTCGCAATACTCTTCTCCAGATTCCCTATGATTTCATTAAACTTGACCACATCCCCCTCCAATAAACCCCTCTCCTTCTCCAGCGCCTCCCTCCTGGACGGCTCCAACCGCATTGTTTCCACCCTCCCCTGCAGCTGCGTGGCGGTTGCCTCCAAAACCCTGACATTCTCCTCCGCATTCTCCTTCTCCCTATCCAACTTGTCCAAGAAATCCCGGTCCAAGGCCTCCACGGCATCGTCATTGCCGTGTATATAATGCAAGTAGCTCTCCAGGGCGTACTCGGACATGGCATTGTTCTCGACGAAGGCCCGGGAATCGGCGGCGAGATGGTCGGTGTAGAGCACAATCTGGAAGATCCAGTGGATGACCGCGAGCAGAGTGGGCCACTGGTGGGCGTTGACGGTGGGGTTTCGGAGCAAGGACTTGTTGGGCTTGAAGGGGCATTTCAGGAACTTGAGGAGGAGGGGGAGGTCGTCCTCGAGCTTGGGCGAAGGGTAGTCGAGCCGGGCGAGGAGGAATTTCAGGGTTTCGGTGATTTCCCGGGCGGAGGGGATTGGGAATTTGAGGGAGAATTGGAGGGAGTGGGAGGAAAGGTAGGAATTGACGGCGGAGACGGTGGACTGCTGGAAAGAGCGGTCTTTGTACAGGTCGAGGGCGGCGGTGGTGGGACCCATGCCCACCGAGGAAGGGCGGCTGCTTGCGAAGCTGGCATCGGAGTCTCGTTGGAGGCGGAAGTGGTCCAGCGGCGTCGCTGGTGGTGGCCGTGGGTTGAACGACTCCCTTGCTCGGCCGCGGCTTGTGCCTCTCATCTTTCTTTCCTTCTCTTCTCTTTCAAATTTCGGACTGCGTTTCCCGCTCCTCCGAGTAGTGGTAGGGACTAGCGAAAGACTCGGTATTCAAAAACAGAAATGGTCTCGCTCTCCGGACCATCTGATCTAAGCCGTCCACTCCAGATCGTGTGGCCTCTAATTGGTTTTACTGGTATATCTACCATGTGATCTAAGCTGTCGACTCCAAATCTACGGCCAAGAATTCTTGTAATGGATTATAACTTGGTACAATTTTTAATTATAGGTGTAGCTAATATTGCTGAAGCTTTTGGTATTGGGGTTTATTTTATTTTTAAAGGCTTATAGCGATTGTTGTGAATATATAATATACAATTAATTATTTTCCTTATTTAATATTTAATAGAAATACACATTGAATTTCGAACGACAAGACTTCAATTCGGTGGTTGTTTACATTGGACAATGAAATGTTGCTTTTTTTTTTTTCTCTTTCTTTTGGTACCTTCTTAGTATTTTCTTGTATTTTAATTCAAATTTTGCATCGTTGAATATTGTATTCAGTTTAAGTTTAAAACGAAGATTATTTTGTGGAGTTGAATTTAAGTTTTGACCAATTTATGAAATTGAAGTTAACTAGCTTTGATGCTATTTAACCTTTTTTTTTTTCAGTACAAAAGAAAAAACAAAATAGCATCAAGGCTAGTTAACTTCAAACTAAGTTGCTATATAATTGAACTCAAAAAAGTTGGACAAAGTTTGATTTATTTATAAAATTTAAGTTGACTAGCTTTGATCCTATTTGGCTTAAATTTTTAAGAATTCTAGCAAACTAAGTTGTTACAGGGTTAATCTCGAACAAGTTGAACGATTTGAATCCAACTCAAATGTAAACTTGAACTCAACTAAACTTATTATTTGCCTCGAATGAATCCAAATCAAACTCAACCCAAACCTGAACCCGAAACACAAAAATTGTGTAGGATTGGGTTTGCCTTCCAACCGGCCAACCTGTCGAGTTTCACCCCCATGTGAAATTGTGAATCTTAGAACGTGGACAAACATTTACGGAAAGAGATCCTCTTTGGATCTTTTCCACCAAGGTCACTGGATCAAGTGATCCGAATCTTTGAAATTTTATCCAACGGTCAAAAATTATTATAGCTTTTAAGTGATCAAAACAAGTGAGTCGTTAGATGAAATTTCAAAAATCTGAATCACTTAATATGATGACCTTAGTGAAAGAGATCCGAAGATGATGTCTTTCCGACATTTACCACACAGCACGACGACGCGTGACAGCGCGACCGCTTTAAACCGGTGAAACTGAGCGTGCTCGCCAGCCGCCCAAGCAGCGCGTGGATTCCAAATCAAAGCAGCTGCCCCACGTCTCCAATCACGAATCAGAGGAGAGAGAAAATGAGGGAGGAGAGAGATAGAGTAGCGTAGAAATAACTCGAAATTGACGAAAAGCTTGGAGCTTTCTCTCTCCTCCTCTCTCTTTCTAGAAAATTAAATAAACCTCGCGACTACGAACAGCTTTTGTGATTATTTGCTTTTCATTTCGCTGCCTCCCGCGCTCTCCCGCTTATCCCTCAATCGCGTATTAGCTTCGCCTCCTCTGAAACCCTAATCCCCTTCTTCTCTCCCAAATCCAAAATCCATATCCAAATTGCTCTTACTCCGACCCGCTTTAACGTCTCTGAAGTTTCAACACTCGAATAGTACATATATAATTCTGGTGCGATTTCTATGCTTTTTCAATTTCTCTCTTATCAGATGGTTTTGTACTTTTGTTCTTCCTTCATTCTTGAGCTTGAGAGTCTGTTTGGTTGCCGGGAAATGTTAGAAAAATCATGGAAAATCATTCAGTTATGTAGTTATTCTCTCTTCCTTTGTTTTTCATTTTTGTTTACTTTTCAAATAAAAAAAATTGGAAATTTGGAATTTTGAAAGCTGGGTTATCCTTTGCGTGCAAAATTGAGCAACCACAAGTCTACGACTTTCATTTCTGAGTAAAATTGGAGATTTTCACCTTTTTCTTTGGATTTTTACAAAAGATTCTTAATATAGTTAAATTTGAATATTAATTAATATTTTTGTGGATCTCTCTCAAATGGATGATGGGTCAGCTGCCATGTGCTTTGCTTCAAGCTTTGGGTTTTTATTTGATTAATTTATTAACTTCTTAAACACGTTGGTCTGTGTATAAATCTCTGACCTGTTTCTGTTTCTCTTGCCATTGTATGCAACTGACTTATTTTGGATCCGGAATTGCTCTGACCTCGGCTCAGGTGAGGCTTTCTGGTTTTCAGTTTCAATTGCGAAAGATTATATCTTTAGCTGGAATGAAATACATGTGTTTCTGGGTATAATTGGCTTCGAATCAAGACTCGAGCTGTTTCTGGCTCTGCCCAAGTTTTTAATCTTCACTAATCACATAGTTTTTGGTGATATCTATTTACTTTAGTAGTTCAATGATTCAAGATTCAATTTCATACTAGTGTGGTTATCACTGATCAGAGAGTTGATCTCGGGGGTTCTTTGTTCTTTCTTCATAGGGTTTGATAGTTGATTTCAAATTCAAGGCTTATCGACGTTATCGTCCTAGTTTAGAATTCAATTGCTACAATAAATTTGCTAGTGTATTTAGGAAAACGGGTTTTTATCACAAACAATCCTTTATGTTTTACCAACTCATCAGTTTGGTCCTTTATTCGTCCTTTATGTATTGACTCACACATCGATGTAGTCCTTACTGTAAGACTCCTTTAAAAATTCTGTTAAGATGCTTCTGTGTGTGCTTTTTGACCACTTGTATGGTGTGTTTATGTGATAATCTGATCTAAAAATTGGTGATTGAAATGCGTACTATGGTTTCCTTTCGAATTTAAAGTTCTGATATATTGTTTTTCTTTGAGACTTTGACAATTGAAGCACAGGATTGGCATCTGCAGTAATAGGGTGAACTTTATTCTATTAACGTTGGTGTGGACGTTCCTGGTTTTTGTCCTGTATGTGTGTGTATTTGTAGCCGAATAATTTTAAAGTTCCATGTATGTATATCTGGACTGTCATGGTTCTGGTATAACTTTTGCAATGTGATTTGCAGGTAGATCTTAGAAATGGCAAAAGGCAGCCGGGGACGACGCAGAATTGCTTCCCGACGATACAGACCAACTCCATATCCATTGCGGAACAGTCAAGATCTATTGGAGGATCTGTGCTCGAAGAAATGCAGAGATTTGGAAAAAAAAGACTGGGAGGATGCAACATGTTCCGTGTGCATGGAGTATCCTCACAATGCTGTTCTTCTCCTTTGTTCTTCTCATGACAAAGGTTGCCGTCCCTACATGTGTGGAACTAGTTTCCGACATTCCAATTGTCTTGGCCAGTACAAGAAAGCTTATACTAAAATTGTGTCATCTGATCTTGGACAACCATTGCTTGGCTCCAACAACGATCCAATTATGGTAACAGATGCTGGATGGCCAGTACAAAAGTGTGAAGTCACGGAACTTGCATGCCCCCTCTGTAGGGGCCAGGTGAAGGGCTGGACTGTTCTTGAACCAGCACGAGATTATCTAAATACAAAAAGGAGAAGCTGCATGCAAGAAAATTGTTCATTTGTCGGAAATTACAAGGAGCTTAAAAGGCATGTGAAGGAAGAGCACCCCTCTGCACGCCCACGAGAAGTGGATCCAGACCTCGAAGAGAAATGGAGAAGTCTTGAACATGAGCGTGAGACGAACGATCTGATGAGCACAATCCAGTCTTCCATGCCAGGTGCAATGGTTTTTGGAGATTATGTAATTGAAAGAAATAATTATGGTTTGGATATGGACGAAGAGGATGGTGGCTTTAATGCAGATGCTCCAGAAAGAAATGGGGGGTTCGGGCTGGGATTCGATGGCAATCTGGTGAACTTCTTTTTCCTATTACATGCATTTGGGCCATCAAGGACTGACCTGACAAGACGTCTAAGACCGCCTGAGAGGGCCTTCCACCACTCATTGGACAACAGTGCTGCTGGCATCCGGCACACAACTCCTGTTGGCGGTTTGGATTCCTCTGATCAAGATGAAGAGAATGATAGTGATGGTGATGATGACGGCGGTGGCATGTCATTCGCGAGCCGCCTTCGGCGTCATGGCAGGGTGTTGTTGGGACGTTCTGGGAGGAGACGTATGCGTAGAGAAGGAAACAGTGATGAAAGATAAGGAAGTTAGGAACACTTGTTTAGGCACACAAATTTAGTAGTGATTGCACAAAAACAGAAGTTATGATTTTAACTTTCTCGGATTTGCATTGGATTTAAGTCTCATTGAAATTGAATGGCTGTAAAAAAGGAAAATGGAGATGAAGTTGTTCCTTTTCCCTTTGTTCTGTTGTGTAATATATTTTCAAAATCTAATTTTACTTCTTACTTTTTACCTTCTTCAATGTTCGAATATAGTTTTCTTCATGTATGTGGTTCTCTCTCTTGGGATGAGGATATATGGATCCTCTTTGATAGGATCTTAGGAATCAATTTATTTAGCTGTTCAGTTTTCGTTATATACTCTTTGTATTCAATTTTAAATAAAAAATTCAAAATGATTTCTGACGTAGGATGATTGATGAATTGATTTCTAGGATCCTCACCCTTGTATCAACATTCCATTTTGGTCAATGTGCCTGAATTTGTTTTGACAGGCAGGATTTGAAATTTCACTTTGCTCGCTTGGTTTTTAACATTTGTAAATCTTATTTTGGTAGAAACATTTGTAAATCTTAATCACTGTAATAAGAGTTGGTTTGAAAATACTTTTAAAATGACCAAAAACGTTTTTAGAGAAAATGTTTTTGGATTCCAAACGTATTGAAAGTGCTTCATTCAAGAAGTATCAGTTATGTGTTTCTTCTAAGAAGCACTTTAGATGCTTTTTCAAGATACAATTGCAATGTTACTAAAGTTTAGTTCCATAAATATTTTCTTAAAAACGCTACAAGTCAATTTCAAGATACATTATTTTTAAGTTAAAAGTGCATAATTCTTTCATTTTAAAACTTGGAAACACATTTTTAAAATACAGCAAGATCAAGTCTTAAAAAAAAGAAAAACAAACACTCATGAATCAATTTAAAGAACCTTTATTTTTCCTATAATAGCATTAAACTAATCAAAGCGTTGAGAGGGGAATATGAACTCGAGTGCATAAGGAGAAACACATCTACGCTAGCCACTACGGCATCACCTGAATGCAATTTGATTTATCAAACATTTAAATGAATAATAATAGTTTAACAACCATTTGATTTCTCTCCCAGTGTTCTAATAGTTCAACAACACAGCAAATGACACTATGAACGAAAAATTATGTACAAATTCCATCTTCCATTTACACTGCACATTAACCTGCATTTCCGAACTCTGCTCTACAAAATGGCGGAAACGAAAAATTTTAGAAATTAGTGCGTATTGACATGTTTGCTAGACAACATGTTTGCTGATTCTTGCTAGAACACACACCTTAAGTTTCCATCCTGTAATTGGTTGCTAAAATCGGAGACTTGAAACTTAAAGCTCGCCCGCGGCATTGATGAACTTGGAGAGCATGCCATTTTCCACATGACGGTGCTATGAATCTTTTCTCCGTATGCCTGTAGGAACACACCATAACATACCGGTGAGCTCCAATCAAGAAAGGGAGACTGCAAGCTTCACGAGCCTGACTCGTGAATGATCCAATCTTCAGCCTATGATCACAAGAAATCGTTGTTGGATCACTTCCACAAGCTTCAGGCGATTTCTTTCTCAAGACTTTCTTGGCATTACCTTGACGGCCCCTAATGCTCAAGGCCTCAAATTCTTCTGCTTTGCATTGGGCACAACCCTGAGAGGAACTCGATCTTTCTTCTAGCCAACCATCAAGCATGGCCTTTGCAAATCGGTTAATATCCTTGTCCGTCACTTCCCATAAATGGTGACAGGAGAACCGGCTAGCAGATAAGATAGTGCAGGACCGTGTGGAATATAACAACCATTCAGTGTCAGACAACCACTACTACATCCCATCAAAAGAGTAGCAGCGCAGTTTTCCAGACTCTGAATCTGATGCATGGGAACGTACTTCACCGCTGCATCACAAGACATACGGGCACAAATGTTCAGTTTGACGTTTTAAAAACTTTTTATGCCAAACACAAAAAAGCCAGAATAATCAAACATACCACTTCCATGGCCGATATATATAACTAGGTCGTGGCTTTTCATGGCTTCAGCCAATTCTTCAGCTGTGCAGGGTATTCAAATGAAAGGTTACTTATGGAAACATATAGATTTGTGCTTATATGTATACAGATAATATATGCCACATCCTCGTGCATCTAATTTCCGACACTGGTGAGGAATGTTTCAGAATTCCCCAGAGGGCATGCGATAAGCGTCCTGGTTTCATAGTATTACTCACAACTTGATCTTGATGGTAGTTCTTCTCCAGTGTTGCAAAGATGCTTCCAACAGAAGGCGTGCGGGATAAACAGTGTTACAAATCCTTCAAGTTGTTGAATAGACTCAGGTGCAAGCCTGCATCAGGGACAAACAAATCGTGTTAGAATAGTTCATCGACAGACACCCTCTATGTTGTATAGTGACAAAAACAACCTGAGTAGATTCGTTTTTTTCTGATCCCAAACAAATTGAGCCAGTAACAAGTGAAGCCTGAGGATTTAACAACAATTAACTTATTAGTATGTGTTAAAGAAAGGAAACAAACATTAAGGTTGCTATGCAAATACAACAATCTGGAATGCTAATCAGCAGAAGAAAATATGAAGACTAGAAAACTTTAAAAACAAATGGCAGCATGCATTTGCATCGGGGAGGTAATTCCAAATGATGGTTCATTCACTACTAAACAGGATATTCAAGTGGCAGACAATACTTGTTCGTAATTACGCAAGAACAGACCGATAATATACCATCTGCATTTATCTTGGGTGCTAAGACCCACATTCAAGTAATTGATATAAGCCCCCGAGTTTAAAAATCTGGCATATAGATTGATTAGTATGCATGTAGCTTGATTAATTGCTTATATAAATAGACTAAATAAAAAGAACCAAAGTATGTATACATACCTCATTGTTTATAAGGTGTTGAACATTAGATATCCCAGGTATATTCGTGAAAAATTGGCAACTAAATAAACACAGATGGGTGTGTTAGACCATGCAATCCAATTTGACAAGAGCTGACCCTGGTGAGTTTGATGACATTACTAGGTTCATAGTGTATTGAAGTTGGGTGATTTCTTAACTGCAGTCTTCAAGTGCAGGAACTGTGGAACTTGCAATGGTTGGCAAGCATTGCAGTGTACCATGTCTAGAGGATCAGGGAGGGTGTAATGCCAAGTGAAGAATTACACCTTGAAAAGGTAGACTTTCCTTCATTTAGATTTTGACCTCTATGTCTAGAAAATAAGGTTTGGGATTTTGGTATGCATATGTGGTTCTTGGTTCCAAGAACAAAAGTTACTTTTGTTTTGAAATTGCAATTTAGTTGATGACTGTGTCTGTGGTTTGTGAATTTGTTTTTAGGACCAAAGTTACATTGCTTTTCATTCATTCAAAAGTAGGAAAAAAAATGGGATTTTTAGTTGGTTTATATAATCTTTTATACAAAGCCTTAAAAATGTCATGCTTGATTCATTCAAAAGTAAGAAAAAAAAGGAAAATTTTCCGTGAAATTGTCCTGTTTTGGTTCAATGATTTAGGCAGTATGGATAAAAGTTACATTGGTTTTCAAATGGTATGCTCGATTCATTCAAAAGGAGCAGAGAATTAACTGTTCTCATAAGTAATTCCTCATTCTGAGAACTTGAAACCTTGGACTGATATGCATTTCTAAGATTTATTTTTATTTTTTTATAGAATATTTAAAGGTGGTTTTGAAATTTTAATGTAATTATAAAAGTATGCGTCTTTGATTCCATAAAAATTGCTGTTTATATATGTGAATTCAAGAGGGGATCATTTGTATGTGGATGTAATACAGAGAGGGTGCCCTTGAGAACGTTTGGCTATCTATTTCATATTGATACACTTCATCTGAAGTCTAAAGTCCTACAAAAATTAATTTGAGATCTTTGACTTTCTATGATGGATTAGGTGATGTTGAAAACTTCTAAGCGTAAATTTAATTCCAAATTTAGTGATACTGTGACGTAAGAGATGTGAGATGTTAAAAAATGATGATATGAATTGATACACAATAATTTAGTTCCTGAGAAAGTAACGTTGAATTTACTCTTACTATATGTTCAATTTATAATCTAATCTTAATTTGTCTTCAATTTCTTTTAGAAATAGGAATTTCAATTTTTATACTGAGGTAAAAGTCTCAACCCTTCTAACATAGTAGTATGTATATGATCATTTATTTTTAAATACAACCGTCTTATCTTAAAGTGCCAATTGCTGAAATATAGGAATCCAATCCATTTTTAAAACTATTGAGAAGCATGCTATAAGACAATTTGGTTCTTCAGTCCACCATCTTCTAGGATATTATTCCACATATATGCCATTCTCCAGTACAACATTGTACATCAATGTCTTCTCTATTTTAACAATTTGGTTCTTCAGTCCACCATCTTTTAGGAAATTGTTTTTTTTTTTTTGAAGTGGCATTGAGTAAAAAAATAAAAAATAAAATAAAAAAAAATCAAAATTCATAAATCGCGACTCCCCATCTCCCCTAGAAAAGGTGAAAAAATGAAAGGTGGTTTCACTTTTCACTCCCCCAGAAAATCGAGACCCCCCCATCTCCGTTCGAAACCTACCAACGGGCCGTCACTCGACCTCGCCATTGCTCCACCTCACACACTGTCGTACGTTGTGCACACGTTTCTGGGAAAGATTGTCATGAAGCCATCGTTGATGATGGGGTGGGAAAAAAGGAGGATCGAAGTGGGTGAAACACCACTTTATTGTAAGTAACCTACCTTTTTCGAAGTGTAGATAATATGGGTTTAGGTTTTCTGATTTTTCAATTTTGAATTTAAGGATTAGGGATCTGTGAGTTCCAATCCCATTTTTTTTTTTTCTATGGTTTCTGGAATTGTGTTTTGTAGTGGGTTGTGCATGTGGTTTTGTCTTCAATCATGGTCCCCATGGTTTTGTTTTCAACTTTTTTCCTCATGGTCCTACTAGTGTTTTCACCTTTTTCCCCATTTGCCTCCAGGATTATATGTTATTTTCACCTTTCTCCTTGACTTTGCAGGCATGCCCGAATTATTTAGCCTTAAAATTAACCACGGTGGGAAATGGTCTGAAAGTGCGTATACATGAGGGTTTGAGGCTTGGTTTGATTATGTAGTCAAAGACTTCATGTTTTTTTTTTTCGAGATTGATGTGGTTAAGGAGTTAGGATATGATGGGTTTATGTTGTATCACTATAGGATTCTTGGAATGTCTTATTGGGAAGGATTAAGGCTTATTGAACGGGATCAAAATGTGGGTGAAATGTGCAAGTATGTTCCAGGGGTTAGGGAAATAGAAATGTACCTAGAACATCTAAGTCCGAAGCAAGCTACCTTGAAACATAAGCTTTTGATGAATCTAGATAAGAGTGCCATATTAAAAAAGGTGTCATTATAGAAGATATTGAGGAATTGAGGGTGGCGATTTCGATTACAAAGGGAAGTGGATCAAAACTAAAGAAGGGTAGAGCAAAAAGGGGTGCGGATGACTTAGAAAAACGGCTATGTCTTTTAAATGACATAGCCTACAATGGTGATGATGAACATGAGGCTGAAGCAACAGAAGGAGGACAAGGAAGTCGATATGAGGCTGAAGATGGTCCTCTCAATGCTGATAATGAAGGTGATGAAGATGATGAAGGTGATGAAACTGAAGAAGGTTACGAAGCTGAAGAAGTTAATGAAGGGACCAAAGTAGAAGCTAATGAAGATAAAATTTTTGAAACATTTATTTTTACAATTTTAATTTCAATATTCAATTATTTTTGCAAAGTTTAGGTTTTTAACAAATATGCATTGTTTGTGGCAGTAAATGCAGATGATGACACTACAGATAGTGAGTTTGTGGACAGTGACTATAATTTGGAAGATGATGATCGTCGTGCAGTAGATGATACAACTGTAGAAAGTGTCGTTGGAGATGCTGAAAGGAGTGAAGGGGTTGGGAACCAACATTCATAAGACGTTATTGATGCAAAAGATGTAAAAGACTTTCCCCTTGATGATGATAGATAAGACTCAGATGGCCTGCACAGTGTTGAGGATTCGGGTTTAGACTGTGATGAGAAGGTCATCTACCCTGAGTTTATTGAAGAAGCCGATAGGGATGCTCCAAAGTTTGAAAATGGATTGAAGTTCAGAGATACTGCACAGTTGAGAGAGGCAATGTGGTCTCACTCCATTAAGCATGGTGCACCTTCTATTAAGCTAAAAGGGAATGAGAAATGGAAGATTAGTGCAAGGTGTGAGAAAAACTGTCCATGGAAATTGTATGCTTCCAGGATGTACAATGAAGATTCAATGCACGTGAAAACCTATGTTGGGAAACATGAATGTCTAAGTATTTAGAGGGAAAATCCTAACTGCAAAGTGGCATGGCTTATGAAAAGGTATGTGGACAAGTTCAGACTCAACCTAAGCATGCCCATCATTACATTTATGGAGATAGTGAAGGAAGAAATAATGGTTGAGATCCACCTCAAGACAACCTACATAATGAAAGCACAGTGTTTGAAAATCCTTGAGGGGAGTAACATGGATCAGTACACAAAGTTGTGGGAGTACTGTGATGAGCTTAAGCGAACAAACCTGGGTAGCATAGTTCAGATGAAGGTGTTGCCCTATGATGATGCTCATGTGATATTTTAGAGGATTTATATTTGTTTAGGGGCTTGCAAAAATGGATTTAAGTATGGAGGTAGGCAGCTTGTAGGGTTGGATGGTTGTCACTAGAAGAGAGTGTTCAAGGGCCAGTTACTATCTGTAGTGGGAATGGATGCAAATAACCAAAAATGGATGCAAATAACCAAACTTGGGTTATTGCATATGCTATAGTAGAGCTCAAGAACAAGGACAGTTGGGTTTGGTTTCTGGAACTGCTAGCTGCTGACTTGGGAATTGTGAACCGGCATGCTTGGACTTCATTTCTGACAAACAAAAGAGTTTAATATCAGCTTTTGAGAAGGTGCTGCCGAATTGTAATTATCGGTTTTGTGTTAGGCACTTATACACCAACTACAAGGCATATGGCCTCGTGGAATGCTGCCAAGGCAACAACCCTTGCTGATTTTAGAGAGAGTATGGTTGAGGTGAATAGGCTGAATGAAGAAGCTTATAAATGGTTGGAGAAAAGGCCAGCCTTGCATTGGAGTAGGTCACACTTTGAGACACACACTCAGTGTGACATTCTCTTAAACAACCTCTGTGAAAGCTTCAATTCTTTTATCCTAAGGTCTAGGGACAAGCCTATTATTACCATGCTGGAAACTATAAAGAGTTTTATTGATGAAGATGATATGGTTGAGAAGAGATGCAATGAGGAAGGATAAAGGAACTATCTGCCCAAAAATCGAGAAGAAGTTGGAGGAGTACAAACTGAAAAACTCACACACTATAGCTACATGGTTTGGAGGAGAAAATTTTGAAGTGGATAAGGGCAGAGGCAATATATTTGTGGTGGATTTGAATGGGTGCACTTGCTCATGCAGAAGATGAGATTTGACAAGCTTTCCTTGCATATATGGTTGCTTGGCCATCTATTATGTAAGAAGACAGCCTAAGGAATTTGTTTCCTCTTTGTACAAGAAGGAGAAGTACTTTGAAGCTTACGAAAACTTGATTCAACCTGTCCAAGGCATGAAATTTTGGGAGCCATCTGAAAACAAATGCATTCTTCTTCCAACTTTTAAAAGGTAGTCGGGGAGACCAAAAAAGAGGAGACATAGGGAGGGTGATGAAAATGAATTTAGGTTAAGCAAGAGAGGGCAAAAAAGTGTGAAGTGTAGAGTTTGCAAGGCCTCAGGACACAACAAGGCCAGATGCCCTACCACTCATCCTCCTTCAGCTGCTAGAAAAGGAAGAAAAAGCAAGAAAAATGAGGTATAATTTTGATATTTTTTGTTGATTTTTCATTTCTTAAGTGAATTTGTTAATTGTGAAGTGTAGTATCTGTCAGTGCTAATGCTATATGGGTTCTTTACTTAGGCCTCAACATCTAAGGCATCACAACCCTCTCAATCATCGTAGCCATGCACTCAGGAAGCTCCACAACCTTCATCTCAACCAACTCAAGTCTCTCAAACCACTTCAAAGTCTATTGCAAGAGATCAGAAAAGGAGGAGGAATGTTCCATGATGCTGCTTTAATGCTTTAGGTTGTTTAAGGATTCATTCTGTTATGCCCTTAGTTTTTTTGGAAACTTTCCGATAAATCTTTAGTGTTTTGGGTAGAGTTCAATTAGTTTTAAAGTTGACCCATTAGTGTTTTGGACAGATCTTTAGTGTTTTTGGAAGAACACCTTGACCCATTAGTTCTAAAAGTTGTGGTATGTCGATACTTTTGTGTGAATTGGAGGATGTATATTGAACTTTGTTGTGAATTGAAAGTTGTTGACAATTGAACTTTGTTGATAGTTTAAATGATGAATTTGCAGATTTAGAATTCAAAGTTTGTTTGGAATTGAATTTGTAGATTTGGAATAGAAAGTTGTTGTTTTTTGCCTATTTAATTTAATTTTTTTTTCCAAAAAATTTTGGCTGGAAAAAATGTAAGGTTTGTGGAAAAAAAATTTGGGCGGGAAAATTCTTTTTTGAACCCGTAAATTTTTTTTTTTAATTTTTTTTTCACTCAACGCCACTTAAAAAAAAAATCCACGTGGACCCACATGGCACCTAATCATTTTCCACATGGACGCCACGTCACAGATAACAGGAAATTTAACAATTTGACTAACAGATGTACGAGACTGTCCCAAAATTTACAATTTAGGTATAACTCTAGAACGAAAAAAATTTGATGTACTAAATGTTGAAAACCATGAAACATAAGGATAGTAAATAAGAATTTATCCTAAAATTTATTTATAAGTTAATAATATTGTCTTAAATGTTATTCTTAAAACCCACGGCAAAGAACGGGCATCCATGATCTTATCACCCAAAGCCAAAACGTTCATAACAAAGAAGTTGTACGGTCATAATTCTTGTCTTTCATATTTGATCAATTTCAATTTATTATAGAAAATCATTGGTCGACAGAAACAAGATCCATTTGCTAGCGAAACGCCATCTGTACACATACTTAACCAACCCCAGATTATTCCGTTTTATCATCTTACGCGACAAGTCACAAAGCATTCACCTCATTTTCTTCCATAAAAAACCCGAAAACCCAATTACAAAACAAAACAAAATATCTCCGGCGACTCCGATGGACTCTAAACCCTCCAGCAGCGAAGTATCATTCGAGTTCCCTACCCTCTTCCGAATCTATAACGACGGCCGAACCGAGAGACTCATGGGCACCGAAACCGTCCCACCCTCCACCGACCCGACAACCGGGGTGCAATCCAAAGACATCGTCCTCTCGCCACAATCCGGGCTCTCTGCCCGCGTGTTTCTCCCCAAGCTCCCCGACCCGACCCGCAAACTCCCTCTCCTTATTTTCATCCACGGCGGCGCTTTCGTCATCGAGTCCCCCTACTCTCCTCTCTACCACAACCACGTCTCGTTACTGGCTTCCGAAGCGAACGTCGTGGCTTTGTCGGTGCACTACAGGCGGGCGCCGGAGCACCCACTCCCCGTTGCTTTTGAAGACTCCTGGGATGCAGTCCAATGGGCCGCGGCCCATTCCAATCGTAACGGGCCCGAGGCCTGGCTCAACGATCGCGTTGACTTTGACCGTGTTTTTATTGGTGGCGACAGCGCTGGTGCCACTCTAACGCATCACGTGGTGCGCCAGGCCGGGCTCTACGGTTTGGGTGGCACCAGGATAGTGGGGATGATTTTGTTTCACCCCTTCTTCGTGAATGACAAGCCCGGTAAGTTGTTGGAGGTTATTTATCCGACATGTGGGGGGTCGGATGACGCGAGGGTGTGGCCGGGTAAGGATCCGAAATTGGGTGAGATTGGGTGTGGGAGGGTGTTGGTTTTCGTGGCTGAGAAGGATTTCTTGAGGGACAGGGGCTGGGCATACTACGAGGCATTGAAGAAGAGTGGGTATGGTGGGGTGGTTGAGATTGTGGAGAGTGAAGGGGAGGGCCACGTCTTTCATTTGTTTAACCCAAGTTGTGACAAAGCTGTGGACTTGGTGAGAAAGGTGGTTTTTTTCATAAATCAAGACTAATCTACGGCCCAAGTGTGAAGATATGGGATTTTATGGTGACAAAAACGGTCAGATGATGTAATTTTTGGGTTATAACAAGAATTATCCATGGTATTATAAAAGATAGATACACAAGCATATATTATCCTCATACAGCAACCGTCAGATGATGCAATTTTTTCGTGTTATAATAAGCATTATCCATTGTATTGTAGACTACAGGTATACATTATCCATTTTATTAGAACTAAAGTTATTGCTTTGAATTGCCAAACATGTCATGATTCCAACATAGTTTTGCTGCAAATGCATGTTACATCACACCCAAAAACGACCTCACAACTTTTTAAATCCAATAGAAAATCCCTCTTACTAAAAGTATCAGGACAATCACACTCACTTTTTCCTTGCAACTGCTTTGAAGGATCAAGCTGGGTGATGCCATTACCACTTATGCTATGGTTCTGAGAAGATCAATATCTAGACTGAGTTGACCTCAAATTGTACTCAGGTACTGACACTTGATCCTTCACCCTGGGTTTTGGTGCATTTTTAGTCTTTTAAAACTTTTTAGCATCCATCTTGCCTTTCAGCCCCTCCTTGGTGGTTCTCCTAATTTCCTGCTGTTTGTCTTCAGAATGAGTAAGTATACGACAAGCTCCAAAGTCTTTAAGACTAGCTTTTCTAAGCATTGTCCACTCAACACGCTCTTCTTCAGGACAACTAACAGAATTTGCCACTCAGAAAGATTTAGTTTGGCAATGGCTGATTTATACAGGTTTTCAGCATGAGATAACTTATCTGAAGATGTACTTCTTGTATTTTCAAAAATGCTTTGGAATAAATCCCCAAGGTTCTGATTAACAGTTGCTTCCAGCATCAATCTGCACTTCAAACAAGAAATATCAGGTCTGCTATCCCCCAAATATTCCTTGCCACTTTGAAGTTCCTTTTGTGCCAAATCCCAAAACTGCTGCTTATGGTACAGCTTTCCTAAAGACAAAAAATTATACTGTAAGTTAGCCAGTTGTTACAATCTAATTCTTTTGAAACCAGCGGTGAATGTAGATATAATTGTGATACATGAACAACAAATGAAGAGAAGTTGTTATACCCAAGACAGTAGAAAAAACAATGGTAAATTGTGGTAAGCTTTGTGAGCAGGAAAAAGCTTTTCCAAATTGTTAAAAACCTTCGGCCTCAGCTCCATTACCAATTATTTTAAGGATAACCCCCACCTGCAGGTTATTTTGGAGATCCAAATTCAAATCCAATCTCAGTAGAGAAAGTTCCAGACTTTAATTTTAATAAAATGATTGACTGAGAGAGGAAGAGAAAACTGCAGAGTGCTTTCAAGATAACATTGGAGTGCATTCCATGGGCTCAGATAACAGCTTTCCTGGTCACATGAACTAGTATCAAAAAGCCAAACTTCACTAACAACTGATCTTTGCATATGCATGTCATGAATGCTATATGTTAACTCCTGACAGATACCTCCAATTTCATTGTACTTTTTGGGCTGTCACTTCGAAGAAAACATAAATTTCCCTCCAAATAGCTTAGCACGTAAGTTGTGAGCTTCTTTGGCATATGAGAGAGCCTGTAGGATATGAGTCATAACAAACACAAATCAAATAGTTGGACAAAATTGTAAAATGACACTTGAACATATAGAAATAGCATATGAAGCTTTTTAGCATTAAATCAAACTTGGGAAATAACCTTCATGAATTAGCACCCTTGAGTTGGGTTCAGCTTCCTGGGTAGAAAGTGCACGTAAGCAATATGCCACAGCTAATTGATGGCAAGGAGAAATTTCATGGATACCATCATACATCTCACTCTGATACAGTAGCTTATTAATGTCAGCAAGAAATCCAACTTCCAAACAAACAAAGCGTTACCCGGAAAAGGCGAGTTATTGAAATTCATAAAAGAAAAAATAAACAAAAACACAAAAACTAAAATCAAAATTACTTAAGTAAACATATTGCATCTGATAAACACTGAATACAGTCCTTCAGACCTCTAATACACTGAATCAAAATTACTTACAAGTTTACATCAAGATGTCACTCAGTAAAAGAGACAAGATAAAGTACTAAAAGTCTGCCTATGAAATGGTAATTTCACTTTAACGTTGTAATGCAATGTTGACCCAAAAAAAAAAGAGTTGTAATACAACTAAGAAAACAAGTATGCTCAATCTTAAGAAAACAATGGCAATCAAATCAGAGGAATAAAACATACCAAGTGGATACAACAAATAAAAAATCTGCTTGATCCGATGTCTAATTCCCAAGACATCATACATTTTCAAAAGGGGCAAAACACTTTGAATCCATAAGATATGGCAACCTTTTAAGCTTAATCATTGTATGGTATTTCAAAGTTCAAGAATTACAAATAAAAAGATGCGAGAGAGCATGAATCTGTCATCTCGAGACAAGAACAAAGATGAACATAATGTACGGGCAAACTGTATGAACAAAAGACAGTTACTGATTAGATACATGCATGAAATTTTTTATAAATCACGACTATAAAATCAAAACATAGGCTACCTTGAACATTGTATCTTTCATTGACGACTTGACATACTCAGCCATGGTTACAAGGCAGAACTTTTGCACAAGATCCCCGTTGAACGATGATAGCTCCCCAACTTAAAATCGAGTACACATACTCAGGTAGACAACGAGATTCCTGTGCAACTTCTCACATGTGCTTGCATCTAATACCATGAGATCATATCAGGTACACCAATCAGTAAACTACATATCATAGCTGTAAAATCATAAATAATGTTAAATTACTCGAAATGCAGTTAGACTGTGCCTGCTCGGATAAATTTATATTCTGTGGAAAGCGAAAATCGGATGACTTACTCACCAGGACCACGGCACAACCTCCTCAACCAAACAAAGCACCCGCCCGTACACCTCACTATCCTTACTCTGACTCATGGCCGCACATTTCACAAGCGCCACCACAATTTCTCCCAACAAAGACCCAGACTCTTCATCTCCTCCCCCCTTCTTCACATCTGGCACAAATCTCCTGTCCGATTTCACCAATTTCTTCGATTCAAATTCAATCGCCTTAAGGCTCTCCAAAATCCTATACCCCTCACTCTCCGCATCCTCGTACCGCCCACATGCCACCAGGCAACTCACCATCCTCACCCTCTGGGAGTGAAACGATCACGGAGAAGCGGACAACACAGGGGACACGGCGGCCAGGCGGTCGAGGCAAAGCCAGTAAATATCGAAGAGTTCGAGGGCAAATTCGTCATCTAACTTTGAGGGGTCGGCGAGGCGTTTGGGGAGAACGGATAGCTCGCGGTTGAGGAAGGGGAGGAATTTCTTGGCTAGGGAGCGGAGGGTTTGGTGGGCTTGGGATTCGATTGATTTTTTGGTTTTTGGGGGTTCTGGAGTTGGGTGAACGACTGAAGGTAGGCGGCGACGAGGGGATGAAGGCTTGTGGAGCTGGAAGCTTCAAGTTTTGAAATGATGGCGGTCTCCTCCATGGGTGGTGGAGAGAGAGAGAGAGTGTTGCGGGTTTCGCGTTTAGGGATGCCATGTCTGTCTGGTTTTCGGTCTTTGGGCGCCAAGACCGCCCCTCGTGGCTTATTTCAAAATTTTAGAGCAGCTCCGCCCCATTGGGGTAGGCCGGCTCAAAGTCTCCAAAACAGGCCAGCCTCCCAATTTTTTGCTCCAGCCCAAGCAGTATCTAGACCGGCCCAGAATGTGCTGAGCCAAGGGACGGCCTATGTGACGTCACACTGACATCAACATAACATTACAAGCCAGTTTGAATTTTTTTGCTCCAGTCGCATGGGAAACACACGCAAGTGGGCGTGCATTCTCTACCAAAAAAAGGCGGTGGAGCCCGCAGTTGTAGAGCACCAATGGATACCGGTGAGTGGTCACGTGGCTCATTCTGGACCGTTGGATTTCCAACGTCTAGTTTTCTAGACCACTGGATTTCCAACTGTCACAAAATTTTGAATTTCCAAACCAATGGCTACTGACGTGGCGTGATCTAGGCCGTTCGATCCAGAGATCAACAGTCCACAATTTTCGGCCAAAAACGAAAAGAAAAAAAAAAACCAAACGGTCAGAATGATGACGTTGGCCATGTGTCCATATTTGGGCTGTTGGATTTGAATCTTTTTCAAATCCAACAGTAAATTATTAAAAATTGTTTAAAAATACATCAAAAAAATTTATAAAAAAAATTATTAATTTTTTCTATAAATACTTAACCATCATCTTCTACCTTACACCACATTTCAATATTTTCAACATTTTCAACCAAAGCTTTCATATACTTTTTTGTGAAAAAAATGGTTACGTGGAAGCTCATCGAAGATGTTATGTTGTATCAATGCTGAGTTCAAATTACTCATGACCCGCTTACAGGAATGAGATGGAGTTGCGAGAAATGTGGAGTAAGCGTTTTGTAATAGGCTTGGAGATCGCCTAAGAAGTAGTCAAGGTCTTCAAGGTCTTCAAGGTCATTGGAAAAAACTCAACATATCCTTCACTTGTTGAAAAAACGCTCTCTCTCATGCTTCCACTAATCTGCGTGGTGTGACAAGTTTAGCGGATCAAGTGACAATAATTTTATTTATGTATATGTATTCCACCCACATCAATATTTTAATTTATTTATTTGTGTTACACCCATATTTTATAATATTGTCTGATCCCACATTTTATAGACATTACAAGCACACACATTCTACAATGCGAAGAACAACAAGATTGGTTAAAAATATAATCGAAATCTTGACTAAATTATTGTAAACAGATAGTGACATGTGGGGCGTTGAGATTTGTTGAAAATTTTATCGAACATCTATCCACAAAATAGTACTTTCGAATAATGACACATGGCTTGACAAGATTAGTTAAAAATCATAACCAAAATTAAAACTATTTTATTATTATTTTATAATAATATTTTAAATGGGATAGGTGCCAGTGCATTTTGTAGGGATGGAGATGCATTTGTGCCAGTGAATTTTTTAGGGGTGGAGATGCTTTTGGCTAATTACTGTTTATTGGGGTCAATCACTTTTCATTGAGTGGATTAAATGGGTTGGGTGCCAACGCATTTTTTAGGGTTGAAGTTGCTCTTAGCAATTAAGATCATTTTCATGGTTCCATAATTATTGTTATTCTAAACTATATATTAATAGAATCCTCACTAAAAGAGAATGAAAAGACTATTTAATCTTCTATCACAACAAAAAAAATTAAGGATAGTAATGTAATTTGACATAACAAAATTTGGCTGTTTTCTGTTTAACCCTTACCTACAAGTAATTTTTACATTTCCAATCTAACGTTCTCTCACACTCTCTGCCACATCCCGACCGGGCCCCCACCACATCCCGAGTTGGACTCCACCGTAGCACGATATTGTCCGCTTTGGGCCTTGACCATGCCCTCATGGTTTTGTTTATAGGAACTCACACGAGAACTTACTAGTGGGTCACTCATCTTGGGATTGCTCCCGAGCGAACTCGCTTAACTTCGGAGTTCCTACGGAACCCAAAGCCAGTGAGCTCCCAAAAGGCCTCGTGCTAGGTAGAGATGAGAATATACATAAAAGGCTTATAGGATCCACTCCCCTGGACGATGTGGAATGTTACACCCTCTTCCTTCTCCTTCAATTTTAAAAACGAAAAATAAAAAATTTCACACACTTTATGTGTGGACATATACTAATATATTGTTAAAATTGTTGAGTTCGAATTCAAACACTACAATAAATATTATTAATGTATTGTTAGAATTGTAACTTTTTATTAATTATATACAATAAAAATAAAAATAAAATAAAAAAAAACTAAACTAACACGCAAACTCTTAGGCCATCTCCAACTGAAGGGTCCAGAGGGTCAGAGGGCTGAAAATAGTCCGAAAATCGTCTCCAATCGAGGGTTAGGCCAGAGCGCTTATGGGCCCCACGGAATCTGAAAGGGCTAAAGGGCCAACCGGTTGGCCCAAAGGAGCTAGCCAGCCAGCCAGCCCCGAGCTGGGCCAAGAATTTAAGAATTGTTGTCAGATATAACCGACAACAATTCTGTCGGTTATATCCGAAATTAATTTGCTTTAATGTTTGTAATTATATTTTCTAGGTAGGCCAAGTGAATGAATTGTATATGAAGGGCAGCTTGAAACCCTTTCAATTTCACAGTTGTTAGGAAATTTATAAATGGCGGGTGTTATTTAAAGATCCACCTCAACATAGGTCCTATGCCGGTGGTCAGAACTACATCCTCAGCTACAGATATAGATGAAGATGGATCTCCTACCATTCAAAAAACAAGGGTAGAAAATCAGTCTTCGGGTGAAGGTTCCATACCTAGCGCTATGGGATGAAACAAGGAACAAAGGTTGAAGGAAAAGGGCAAGGCAAATGATGATTACGCCGTTCAACAAGAAGTGGCGGCCTCATTGCGATTAATGGCGAAGCAAACTGCCCTTGAGGCAAAATAAATGATCTGTAGGCATGAAGAACGGGCCAAACAAATACAAGAAAAGATGGATGATAAGAATATGGAAATGAACATTTCGAATTATACTCTAATGAGTAAGGCCTATTTTGATACTGAAAAAAAGAAAAAGAAATTATGATCCGACGACAGTTGTTTACCTCTAACTATACTCCTACAATGGCGGATGATGAAGATGATGTTGATTATGGATATTAAATTTAAGTTGTTGTAGTTTTTAAATTTAAGTTAATGTTGTTTTTAAATTTAATTTGTAATTTTTAAATCTAATTTGTCATTTTTATATTTAAGTTGTAGTTTTTTAATTTAAGTTATTGTAGTTTTTAAATTTAAATAATAAATTATGTTTGACCCTTTGGCCCCTCAATTGGAGACCCTTTTTTGTGATAGGGCTAAAACGAGCCCTATGGCCCTTTGGCCCTCAGTTGGAGATGGAAACAAATATGGTCCTATACTGTTCATTAAAGTATTAATTTCTTGGAGGACCAGAGTGTTGGAAATGTGCCCTAAAACCAATCATATGATGATACTTTATGGACATTTCACATGTTAAACTAATCTAGTTTAATATTAAGAGCAAACATTATTGTTTGAGCCGTCTCATATAAATGTTATATGCTTAAACGATAAGTCCAAGGAATATGTAATTGGAAGAATGCGATCTAAAGAAGTTAGATTCATGAGACCATTCTTTCGTTGACACATCCTAAACGTTCCTGATCATAGGATTGTCAATTGGGCATTGACAGTCCGTTAAGATCAGTACGTGCTATGTCTTCTCTTAGGGAGAGTGACTAGTCTCGAGTCATTGGTGTGTGTGACATCAAGACAAGTACGTAGGTGCTCAATAGAGAATGAGTTCACTAAACACGATCAACGAAGAGTTCTCATATTCATGTCACATGAGAACTCATGGTTGGGATAATGCAAATTAGTCTTTTGACCTGAGGCATCACAGTTGTCTTGTGGTTAGGTCCTTAATCTTTGATTATGTCAAAGTCACTCCATCATGAGGGTGTCCATGACATCGTTGGGGTTAAGCCACTTAGCCATGGAGGCAAGTGAATGCGCAACAAGGGATCTCTAACCTTCAAACTGTTTGAGGGAGAATACTCTATGATATGATTAAGAATCTTTGGCCAAAGTATGAATGAGATTTAGGAATGTGTTCCAAATCTCATTCAAGGTAATCATATAAGCACAAGACTCACATTGGATAGTAGACATGAATAAACTATCAAACCAAACAATGTGGTCAAGAGTATTGTATTAGAGAAAGACCGTATTGCATTTGTAATCCTAAAACTGAATAGGTTCTCCACCTCTTCTGATTAGCTTGGGTAACCATGACATGCTGCTAGGCGTCAACCATGGTTTGTGGAAGCCCTAAAAGTGTATTATCACTAACGGGAGAATTGAAAGTAAGTTTCAATTCACAATCGATTAGAAAGAGTTTTAATCGCCCACTGCCTCGCTAAAAGGAACCTAATGGATCGTTCACCGAGTAAGGTAGAGTTTGAAGAAACAACGGAGATGAGTAAGAATAATTAAATGGTTTAATTGTTTATCTAAGGCTAGGATTAATTAATATGTTAATTAATCAAACGAATAAGTTCGTTAAAGACCTCGGGTTAGTTTTGGGCCGCAAGGCCCAATGGGATTTGAATGTCAAGCCCATTAACTCAAGTTGTATGACAACTTGAATAAACAAAGGGCTTGAAAGCCCAATAAACCCTATAGGCTTGCCATGTTAGAAGAATAGGGCTTTTGGTCCATTAGGTCACTTATTTGAAGGGACTATATAAAGGACTTTATAGCCTAAAATTTACAAATGGTAATTTTTGGGGAAAGGATGAGAACACAAGCTCTCCTTTCTCTCTAAAATTTAGGCCACCTTGGAGGGATCATCTAGCAATCAAACTCCTCCAAGGTCACTCATTTCTTCTTCATTATGCCTTGGTGATGAATCATTAGAGGTTCTCAATTTTGGGAACTTGGAGAAACCTTTTCATCCATCCAAATCCATGGATCTAAGATGCAAGGAATAAAGGCCCTCTCTTTGGGTGATTAGCCTT